TTTAACTAATAGACGGGTGTTGCCGGTGTACGGCACTCTGTCCGCGGCCACTAAGGACTATCGTTAGTAATTTGGCACATTTTCGCATCTACCAGGACAACAGGAAACTGCAGTAACGTCGACCTAATATCGAAGATTCTGGCCAACCCTAAGCAGTCAAATTTCACACGCGTGCACTGTTGACTCACGTCGGGGAGCACACATAATCCTTGCTGGGCATCTTTATTTTCACCTTGCCCTGACTGCGGTTCTGTGGGCTCCAACCTCGGCATCAGCGTGACCTCAATCCCACAGAAGTCGACCTAACAAGGCCCAGACCACACCCAACTGCCTATCTCTGCGGTGCCTGTTGATCTAGCGAGTGCGCTACAAGGCGTGGAATGTTCTGGACAGAAACTGTAAAACTCCTGGTGCGCGCATGCTGGCTAACAATCTCCGTCTACAACGTTTCATCGCCTACGTCACCCACACTGTTTTCCAATCTGCCAGATATCCACAGTGATCACATTCATATCCGCAGAGATAGCCTTTTGAAAAGCCGGCAACGTTATGGAGAAGGATCGCACTTACCTGACCGCAGACTGTGGATCACGTCATATGGGCTTTTATCTTGGCATCCATTCGCAGGCCTTTGCAAACATTACACAGCCAATAATAATCACTTGCCATGACTTCAGAGCATCACTCAAACCCCCTTATTTTTTGAAATTTACTTTCTGTTTACTTTTAATTACCGCTCTCATTTACGTTGCTGTACAAAAGCGTACGATGGGTCTTTCGGGAGAAATTCAAACAATTTCTGTGTTTTCCTGCACTTCTTCAGTATACTGTCTAGTGTGCTGCCCCACCCGTAAAACTCCCCTTATCACCAATCACGTATGACACGATCCACAGCCTGTTGACGGTAAAGTGGGGTACTTCTCCATACCGCTGCTGAAAAACCTAGTGAAGTCTTGCTCGAAGAGGTGGATACGTCCGCCTGCATAATTACTTTTTCTCTGTTAGTCAACGCCAAACCTTTAAATGGACATAGGTTTTGACAAGGGAGTTTGGGGTGTGTGTGTGTGTGCGAGTATTCAGCAATGAGCTTTGTATTTAAATTAAATTTTCGTATACTCGTATATATGTCCATATGATTTTACAGGAAAATACGAAGCTCGAATGCCGCCTTTGTGGTTTTCTGCATGAGGATTTCAAGCGCCTGGATTCTCTTCCCATCAAAGACTTCAGCTACTTTACTGATACATCAAAACTCTGCCGGATCTACGCGAAAACTTAAATGTTTGAAAAAACCAAACGAAGCTTTTTCATACCACAGCATGTTTTAAATTTTCAGATCGCTTTTTATTTACGTCGAAAAACACTAAAGATCTCAAAACACTTATTTTTCATTCGGGATTAAACGGATATGGCATTAGAGTCAACCAGCAGAATAAGTTCTCGGTTTTCTGTTGTTTGACCTGCAAAAGATGAATAGTATTGAGGTACACCAGCATTTCCGATGGTTTTATGTGTATAAGCTGCGAAAACTCAAAATATGATAAAAACAAGAACATTTAAATAGATAAGTCAGTTGATTGCAGACGATTTGCAGTTGTGAAATTCTTCACCTAAAAGTATTTGCGGACAAATTTAAAGCTCTTGAGATGTTACGACAGCGCGAGGTTTCCCCAATCAAACGGCAAAGAAGAGAGAGTAGTTTTGGCGTTTTTTGCAGTGGGACAGCCTACAAGTTTTGACGAGCAATGGCAGGAAGAGGTGTCTTCATTCAAGTGCGAACCCTTGAGGTTATTGACTCCTGCACGAAGCGTGTGCGGTCACTTTCGACTGGGACGCAAGCGCTTCCAAAGGTGTTACATTGAAAATCTGCTGAAAGTCAAAATGAGGTTTAAAAAATATATTAAGCAGATGCGCCAATCGATCATGGCTGTTGTGTAGTCGCAAATTTCTGCACTAGGAAATGTTTGCAGGCAAACTGAAAACGCTTGTTCCAGTTTTCGGTGGTTTCGTTGAGGCGTCGATGCCACACGGACTTTCTGGAAGAAGTCCCTATTTAAGATGGTCGTTTAGACTCTTAAGAAGAATGCGAGAGAAGATCTTTTTAGCAGCGTTGAACAGTGAGATTCCTCTGCAGTTATCACCGAGTTGCCGGTTTTCTTTCCGCCTGTATAGATGGGTGGTATTCGTGAGCTGGGGTCCGGAATGGCGTCTGATCCATGGGTTTTCTCAAATGCAAGTTGGGGCATGGCGCAGATTTATTCTGGGAGGGAAGGCGGTAAACCCAGGTCGTTGCGAGGTTCCACCCTAGGCGGTCGGTTGATGCCGACGTCGGAGAATGTAGATAGGCGGTTGAGGATATTTCTAAGGTCCTAGGCCCAACGCTTTACAGTAGGTGGACTAACTCATGAAATGTTAACTGAATTTCTGAAATGCGTCCTCATTTCGAAAAAAATTACTTAAGTAGGACTGTAAAATTAATCAGCGCGCAGCATAATTCTATAATAATTCGATTACCTCGTGATGCCAGCTTTCAAATGAATTTCTTTCCGGCAGCATGCAAAACCACACTCTGTAAAAAATGACTACTTGGCTAGCACGGAGTTTTCTCATTCAGTTTTGATGCTTTTAAAAATTCAATTTTATTTTGTGGAAACCATGCATATAAATATGCATTTCTTTACTCATTTGGTAGAAAACTACGTCTTCTTCCAGTTTTATAGTTGAAGAAAGGGTATAATTCGGTTTTAAAAAGTTACAAACTATAAGATTTTTTAATACTCTAAAATACCCATTCATAAAACAGCAAGTCTCTGCATTTAATAATGCGGCTTGTAAAGTTTACAATATGGCCCAACTCCACTGTTGAAATATATGAACCTGTATATGGTCTCCTTCTAATAATGTAGTGAAACGAAAGGTTTTCCGTACACGGAAAATATACAATTTGTAGTTTGGAAACTCTGAATGCAAGTGTAATGGCAGGTCTGCTTCAAAATTATTCGACAATTGGAAAAGCTCCTTAAAACTGGGTTATACCCTTCATTCGACTATAACATTGGAAGAAGACCTAATTTTCTACCAACTAAGTAAAGAAATAAGTATTTATATGCATGGTTTCCACTAAATGAATTTGAATTTTTAAGAGCAGCAAACATAGATGGAAAAATTCATGCTAGCTAAGTATTTTTTGACAGCGTGTGGTTTTTACATGCTGCTGGAAGACAGTACATTTGAAAGCTGGCATCACGAGGTAACTGAATTACTACATAATTATACTGCGCGGTGATTAATGTCACAGCCCTACTTAAGTAATCTCCTCGAAATGAGGACGCATTTCAGAATTTCGGTCAACATTTCATGAGTTAGCACATCTACCGTTTAACCTGCGATCTCTCCGTCAGAAGTTTTGTTCCTGAGGAACTGAGAAGCGGCGCGTTTCCTTTGGCTGTAGCCGTAGACCACCTTGACAAATGCAAAGAAGTTCTTTGTTTCATTGTGGTCCGCATAACCGTGCATTTCCTTGACCTTGCGGGTCATCCAGGCGTGCTGCGAGATTCGAAGAAGGTGGCCTCGTTTGCGTCGGTTCGATGGTCCGATGTACAGTCTGGGCTTTTCGGTGATGAGCAGGTTACCGATGTCTGTGTCATTGTTTTCCAACCAGTCCTGATATCGGCAACATGCGCGTCCGAGGACGTCCAGGGCAGTGTACTGGATAGCATCCAATAATTTAAACCACTGATTCTCCACGGTGTCGACTATTCTTCCCCGCGCTGGGCTAGTTGATTGCTGAACTCTTGGTGGTGACACAATAGTATTTTCCTACCAGGTTGTTGGTTACCTTATGGCCTCTCTTGCCAGAATGCAGTCGGAACTTCATTTTAGAGATGACGAGGAGGTGATCCTGTGGCAGGTAGCCGTCATGACCGGTCTGGCGTCATTTTTCAAGACCTCGCTGCCTCAAGGTCATCCACTCCTTTGCAGCGAGCCTTTCCAGACGCGCTGACCTGAAGCCACTCGACCGACTTAAACTCGAACACAATTGCGTCCTCACAGCGTCGCGGCTACCCATGCGATACTTGAACGCACCGCCCCCAGCAACCAGCAAAACAAGCCACTGGGACACCATCCCTCGGCAAATGCAACACACAATGACTGCGCACCACTAGAGCTTGGCCCTGAGCCTAAAAAAGTGGTTGCCACCACTATCGCAGGGACTCCCAGGCAATGACTGCATGCCGTCAACACCAGCCCTGGCTTCGCCAGTGGCCACTGCCGCCTGAGAGGACAACTCCGGGTTCTGTGCACAATAAACCCCACATTCTGGTGCCTTCTGTCTTCTCCTTACGGCTTGGGATTCGACCTGGTGGTTGTAGCATTCAGAGCACTTATTATCACTGCTGTGCCGCTACAGTCCGTCCAACCGTTAGCGTTGTAGATAGGCCTGGCCACCAGCACATCCTGCCGATCTCGCCTCCGAACGAGAACGTAGTAGCTGACAGCGACGCGGTCGCGGATGCATCCGGGTTGCTTTCTTCCGCATCCGAAGGCGGAAATATCACCTATGATATGGTGTGCTCTGCCATACATCATGGACATTTTAGAGGCAACCGAGCGTGTTCCTGAGGAACTAGACATCGGCTTAAAGTTGCCATGTGCGGCTGGATTGTTAAAATCAAAGAACGATCAAATCCCAGGGGGCAGTCGGATGTAGTTTATCGCATACCATGCCTTAGCTGTCCTCGTAATTACACATGTAAGACTGGACGCATGCTCGGATCGTGCATACACGAAGATAAGCTGACTGTGCGACGAGGTGGCGGATTCTCACAAGTGGCTGTCCAGACCTTCAAAACGGGTCGCAGGTTCTACCTCACCGCCACCAAAGTAGTCGTACTCGCCGGAAATAAGACAGGCTGAATGAGGACTCAGTCAATCGATGTATCGGACTGGTGCCGGCATACGGAGCCCTGCACTGCCACTCCGTGATTGCTGATTGGCGAATGACTTTGGCTTTTTCTGCTGCTGCTGCTGCTGCTGCTGCTGCTGCTGCTGCTGCTGCTGCTGCTGCTGCTGCTGCTGCTGCTGCTGCTGCTGCTGCTGCTGCTGCTGCTGCTGCTGCTGCTGCTGCTGCTTTCATCTTTGACTATGGATTCCTGCACAAGTTCTTTACTAACACTAAACCCCAACCCCGGAAAAACACGGGAATGGAAACTCCCAGCTCGAAATCTAGCGGTATAGGCTAGGGTCATAACTAGAACCAAGGGGAGGATGGGGGATGAGGTTTATGGCTGGGATTGAGTTTCGGAATTAGGGTTATAATTGAGATTGGGACACGGGAATATTTACCTCTCTGGAATCCTGCGCAGGACCTACACTAATACCCGTTGGTGGTTCCTATTCCGTTGGAATTCTGACAAGGCCACTGGAGGTGAACACTGTTCCCAAAGCCAGGGTCGGTGGGTTCCAGGTAGCAGTTCAGAAGATGAAGATGCGATCCCTGGAACGAGAAATGTATTGGCCTGACGTTTCGGATTCTCACTCGAATCCATCATCAGGCACATTCGCAGATAAAGGTGATGGTGGCACAGGGAGCGCAGTATTTATAGCCCGTGACTGCCTTGGGACCATGTGTGACACTGGAATTAACAGCTCTCGCAATCACCGCTGAAGTCGTAATTGATGCGGTGGTGGCTTGTCAGTCCGAGTCCGAGTCGTTAATGGCCGAGATTTCGTAATCCGGGCTGGATGCTGGTGTGATGATTGGTCGGCAAACTGGCTCACTGTCATTGGGATAGTTGCTCGCCCGCGCCCTCCCCACGTGACTGATTCCCTTGCCCAGGGGAAATCTCAGCACGGAATATGGTACCCGGAGGTCATTGAGCTTGTTGATGGATTGCGGGTCTGAGAACCATGACTCGAGCAGCTCGCGGCTCACGCGGCTGTCACTCCTTGTAAGGATTTTGGTCTCTTGAAATTTGAAAATATGGCTGGGTTCCATTGAGTGTGCCGCCACCTGAGAGCTAACGTCTCCCCGCCTCACTGCTGCTGCGTGCTCGGCAATTCGCGTACGGAGTAATCGCCCAGTTTCCCCGACGTGGTTGCTTTGTCCGCAACTACACCAGATCCGATAAACGACTCCAGACGTTTCCTGCCATGGCTGCGGGTCTTTTGGCCTCATTACTTGGCGCCTAATGGTTGCTTCCGGCCTGTGTGCAACCCCAACTCCAAGTGGAGTGAGAAGACGACTGACGGCTTCCGAGACGTTCTTCACGTACGGAAGAGCCCGCCAAAATTCAGGGCTGGTTGGATTTGGTCTTTGGTGTCGTTTTCGTATGCACTGGTTGACAAAGTTGTGCGGGTAACCATTGGCTCTCATCACCCGTCGAAGATATTGTAGTTCAGCAACCTTGTCTTCCATTTCACTGCAGTGCGTTTCGACACGCCGATAGAGCGTCCTTACGCAACTGCGTTTGTGACTGATCGGGTGGTTGCTATTGAAGTTCAGTATTTGCGTCGTATTTTTCGCCTTCCTGAACACTTTGGTTTTTAGGTCACCACAATCTTTGCGGCAGACGAGGACATCCAGGAAAGCCAGCTGGTTGTTTTCCTCCTCCTCCATCGTGAATTGAATGTCCGGGAAGACGGCGTTGAGATGTTCTTTGAATGTCAGCACCTGATCCCGTTCGATGACGACGAAGGTGTCATCCACATACCGAGCCCAGAATTTCGGTCTGTGGTGTCGGAAAACCAGCGACTCCAGTTGTTGTAGGACCGCCTCTGCTATGAGTCCCGAAATCGGCGAACACATTAGCGTTCCCTTCACCTGCTCGTAGATTGTTCCGTCGAGCAGTCGTCACACCAAAATCCAACTCATGTGATGATATTGCAACAATTAACGACGCGAATGTCGGCCATCAAACGGTCACCAAACATAGTGAAACGATCCCTGATGAGGGGAGGGTGCCGCGAATATTCATAGGTGTGCGGCAGCATGGCAATTGCCCCTTGTGCATGAACCACCCGTATCTGCTAATGTCTCTGATGATGCGCTCGAGCAGGAATCCGAAACGTCAGGTGAATAAAGATCTTGTCCCAGCGATCGTATCTCCTTCTTCACAGAGTTTCTGATATCATGCAGCTACGACCGCCATACGGGCCATATGAAGGCGGAGTCACTACGGCCTGTCCCTCAGGCGCGAGTAGGACTAAGCTATCTTGTCATTTGGCAACATTCCCACGCTCGACCCCTTTGCGCCTCTCTACAGTGTTAGTGCACATTTAGTCATTTGGGGTGGAAATAGGGCACCGGATCCAAGTCGGATCATCCTCAACCGTTATATCCTCCCCCCACACCAGCGTCTTGTCCGGGTCAAGTTCATCTGCAATGATGTTGGACGTACTGGCTCGCGTGACCTTCGGTCCCCCTCTAGCGCATGTTATGCACAGGCTCGGACCCCACACAAAGTAACAGGTACTAAAAAGGTCACATAGCGACAACGTCGACCAAAATGCCGGTAGCATTTGAGGCCTCTGCTTTTAGCGTAGGTCGGAGCGCGTCAGATTCACTATAGTGCATGCTCCTACAACAGCACCCACGGCAGATGTGTTGGGCTAACACGGCAGCGCGTTATTTAAACTACGTACCGATAATCAATCCCAGACACAGGGGCAGGAGCACGCCTAGGTGCAGGCCCAAAGTGTATCGGCCACCTGCCCTCAGTCCCGCACCAGATTGCTTACCGGCTCAGACAGTATACCGGTGCATGAGAGAGAGAGAGGAAAGAAGTGGAGGTAGACTCCGGGGACTCCCTCCACAGCACTTGACGCATATTCCTCATGAAAAACGGTATGACGCTCTTTTAAACAAACACGGCGAGGTAAAAGACCTGGCTTTGGAAGCTATGAAATGGCAAAAAAACTTGGTCCTCCGCTTAGAACGGAATGCCAGGATGCAGTGATTCCTTCTCAACATGGACTCTTCGGCTCTCCCAATCATTTGCGATCCGAACCAACCCTTTCCTGTTTCTTTGAAAACCTGGTCCATCTTGTCCCAGATCTCACCACCAGCCTTCTTGATTCTACCTTGACACCGGGTTCAGAGGAGTGAGGGGGAACAAAGTGAGGTAGACGCAGAGAAAGTCCAAGCGCAGGTCACCTGCCATGCTCTGTGCACAAGATCGGAATGTCACTCAGCAACGCTCTGATTGTTCCTGAGGGAAGGAGCCCCGGAACTGACTCCAATCTAGTTCTTCATTTTCATATGTGTCAGGGTTTTTCGGCGGAATGTCAGTCGTTCATTACCGGCATTGTCAAGCATCACGATGCGAGCAATGTGCGCACGATGCGCAGCCATGATGTGTGCAAATGATAATGGGAGAGTCCACGCAGTGATCTACTGCGTGCGGCCGGAGAGGACTTCAGGGCTGAGCGATATTCTAATCATAGTTTCAGTGTCTGCCCAAAGGACCAAGACGCATTGATTTAATCCCTATGTAACACATCACCTACGTTTGATGAAATTTTCCCTATCAAACTACGCAATCGACTGCACTTTATGTAATTGCACTTAAAATTTCATATATACTTTGAAAAGACCGCCTGTCGCACCCTTCGCAGTCCCGCGCTGTAAAAACGTTTTCCACAAACAAATATGTTATTAGCAAAACTTTAGTAAGATGAACATTTAACATTTATCTTTTATGTACCGTTTTCAATTGTGTCATCATGGACATTGCCTATTACCCTAAAATACACTATGTATTAGAATGACAGTTGTTGGCCCCGATTGCTGGTTCTGGTTTCTCTGCTGCTCTGAGGTTTTCTGGAGGAGGGGTAAACAGTTCGATGAGGGACTGAAATGCTTGATCGGATCTGGGGTAGGCTAGCAATGAGTCATAATGTTAATGGTTGTCGCCTACGTCTACGGATTCTTTGAAATCGACATTGACTTCAGTGAATAAAAGCGAATTCCGACAGTTTGTTTACTCCTATAAATATAGTCAGTGACCAAACTCATGAAATGTGTCGAAATTTACGAATGACTGCTAATCACTCGTAAACCGACATCATTTCATGAGTCCGATTTAGATGTTAATTAAGTACAAGTTTAAAAGAATTAAAAACACAAAATAAGTATTAAAGGCAGTGTTGTGTTGTTTAGAAATGTCGATTTATTTTGAAAAGAGCAACATCCCGAAAACGTCAGAAATGGCCCTAGTTAAGTAAAGTTCGCTTTTAAATGTATAGAATGTATCCTCATACCAAAACGTGGCAAATATGAAAGTAGACATAAAACAACGTCTAATAAGAGTGTTTTAGTGAATTTTACATCTCAATATCGTTTAATTGTTAGTTTGATTTCATGTATGGCGGATTTTTAACAGCCTACACTCCGAGTGTAGATTTCAAAACAGTTTTCCAGCGTGTTGTATTATTTTTGTGTCTTATCAGTTAAATGAGATGAGATTCAACAAGAGAAACTGGATTTTGCTCGATTTCACCGATGCGGACGTCGTAGGAACAAAAGTTTTCATAAGATGACATGCCATGAGGCCGGTCGGTGCCCAATAAATTTAAATAGAACTGACAGGCGTGATCGTAAACATACCATTTTCTGTTTATAGACAGAACTTTTCTTCCGTTAAATTAATTTAGACATTTGTCCGTTTTGGAAGGCGTTGAGTTTCAGATCAGCCTCGAAATTTGTCTTACTAAGAACGTTGCCGGCTTACGGGCCTCGATCCTTTATGGTTCCGTAGATTACAAAAGGGACTATTTTTGCTATTTAAACTCTTGTATAATCACACATTTAACCCATTCACTTCTTTACGACATCATATCCACCCACGACGTAACAGTCACCGTGAGGTCTTCTTATTTCTGCCTCTGGCACGTGCTGTTAAATATCGTCGGTTCTATTCTGTAAATGCAATTGCTGTTTGGAATAAACTACCAATGAGTGTAAAAACTCTGCAAAATTATCCTTTATTTAAGAGAACCATTTCTCGACTTTCGCATTCAGAAAGGCTCCCACAAATTTTGGGTGCTGAATCTACTGATCGACTATACCGTAGCGATGGCGTTTGTGGTCTCTGAACACTATGGCCGGTCTCACCAGCTGTTTCTGAACGCCTCTACTTTGACTATCCTGAACTTTATGAAAGGAATTGACGTCCGATAATCTCCGATAACGTGCAACCCCCTCCCCTCCCCCCTTCTTTACGGTCGAAAATTTACCGCCAGCAGTTTTTTTCTCCTGAACCCTCCAAACCATAAAAACCATCATCAACTGTATTTTTATTCTTCAGGAGTTTTTTTTTCACTGCTGGTCGGATTTGTGTTTAATCGCTACCTTTGACAATGCCTGTAAACTGGCATTTAATTACTTACGTTTAATAAATAATGTTGCTGAATACTTCATGATTTTCAGTGTTTCCACCCGATCGTCCATAAAGACAAATTCCGAATTATCTGTCTGTTGAGAACTTTACAATAAGATTATTCTTGAGGGCCTTTACCGAATAAGTGAGTGTTCGGGCGCTCCTTTTCACGAAGATGGTCGTTTGGGTCACACGTGAAGACTCATTCAAGCACCAAAACTTCATCTTCGAGAAAAATGTCCGTCCACAACGAATGTCCGCAACGAATATGCCTTTGATCAACAACAAAACTCTCCTCAATAAGTTACCTCTTTAAGAAGTGCTTTATTACTGCACTTCGTTGACGGATCTCTGTGCACTTTGCATCTTTGAACGTTGAGGCCAAATAAAAATTTGACACCTTTTGCCGTTTCTTTCGCGTTCCTGAGAAATACTAATATTTTTCTACCGTGAATGTAGGAGCATGCCTTTTTCTATATACTGGGGCCAGTTCAAGTGTTTTTGCTCGCTTTTAGACTCCGTTCTTCGATTATGAATGCACGGCGGAGTGCCCATATAAATACTGATATTTTGCTAAAACTATAAATTTTTTGCTCGTTCTATTTCTGAGTAAGATATGCAATATGTAATTTCCGCAAGCAGCATTGACGAGGGAAGTGTTCCGTAGATTGTCGCATTATTTTCAGCCTTTTATCTCTTAGTATACTGGTAGGGTAGATTGCACATAAGTTGAGGTTCACTGCGCTCGACCGAATGAAGTCGTCTCCCTGAGGTTTCCACTGTCCACTTACTCTACTGCTCTGAATGCTTCCGACAGAGAATAGGCGTAATCAAGGTCAACACTGGGTTCTCCTTGATCCATGTCCGTTGCTGGTTCCCGTAACGGTCGTAGGCAGTTGCGTGGGCAACTAGGGTGAATGCGTTATTTATAAAGACAGTAAAGAGTTTGCTGATAGCAACTAAAGATCGACTTCCAGGAAGCTGTCGCGAAGACGGAGACACGGCCTGATATTTCGGATTCTCACGCGAATTAATCATTTAAGGCAGAACCAGATAAGGCCAGGGGATCGCACAGATGTCGCGATACTTTTAGGACGTAGTTGCTATGCCACTGCGTGCCTATCAAAATTTGCAGCTTCCAAAGGCACTGCAGGAAGTTGCATGTGGTGCGATGATTGTCTGACTGACTAGGTGTTTCAGTATGCATTTGATATTCGCCTGTATGCATGTCAAGTCTGTCCCGTACTCATCGCAGGTGGTTGCGCGTAGTCGACTCCTGATATGCTGCCCGAAGACGTACCTAACGTTAGATGGAACAATCTTCGAGCAGGTGAAAGGTAAGCCAGTAGGGCTCGCCGATTTCAGGACTCACAGCCAAGGCTATCCTGCAGCAGTTGAATTCGCTGGTCTTCCGACACCAGAAACCGAA